AAATATTTTATATATGTGGATCTTAATTCAATGACGGTGTAAAGGTGCGTATTTTTTTTAGCTAATCTGATCAGAAAGCATAGTGTGTTTTTCTAGCCACAGTTTTTTTTAAATAAGGTCATTCATGAAGGTAAAAGGGTCAGAAATCCTAGTATGCTTGGAAATATCTTGCCACAGGTAATGCGCATGTCAAATATGATAGCCTTATCTCGTCTTAATATAAGGAACAAGATGTGTTTGTGAAACAATACTGCTGACCCTGTATGGCAACATAGCGAAAAATACACTTTTCTTAAATGCATATTTAATATACTATTTTACGAAATAGGGTCTTCTCACAAGAAATACTATTGTGGAAAACGAAATCCATAGAACTCCAAGGTCAAGTGTTAAAATTGTTAGTTTCTTAAGTAAGGTCTTATCACAAAGATAACAAATATATGTAAAGCATGAAAACCATAATCTTAACCGTTTAAAAGTTATCACAAATGTTAAAGTTTTTTTTTTAAATAAGTCAACTCCAAGGTCAAGGTCATTCTTGATATCCCATGAAAAGTCCTTTCACAGGGATAAAATATGTAAAATATGAAAGCCTTAGCCATAACCCTTCAAAAGTTATGGACAAAAATTGTTTTTTAAAAAGTAAAATAACTCCAAGGTCAACGTCGAGAGATAAAAGTTGCATCCAATAAAAGGTCGTCTCACAAGGATTCCGTATGTGAAGCATGAAAGCCCTAGCCCTAACCAGTCAAAAGTTATGGCCAAGCTTAAAGTTTATTTTAAAAGTACATAATTCTGCAAGGTCAAAGGGTAAAATGTGTTGGTTTCAGATGAAAGGTCTTCCCACAAAAAGTGCATTAGTGAGTTCTAGTATAAACCGTTCAAAAGTTGTTCACAAGGTTAAAGTTTTTAAAAAGTAGGTCAAACTCCAAGGTCAATGTCAAATGGTCAACGTTCTTGGTATCCAATGAAATATCTTTTAGAAGAACTATCTATGTGAGGTATGAAAGCCCTAGGTCTTACCATTCAAAAGTTATGGCCAAGGTTCAAGTTTTTTTAAAAGTACAGAAAGCTGTAAGGTCAAGGTCAATTTTTTTTGTATTCAATGAAAGGTCTTGCCTCAAAGAATACATATTCGGAAAATGAAAGTCCTAGTATTTACCGTTCAGAAAGTGAAGCCAACGTTAAAGTTTTTAATAAGTAGGTCAAAGGTCAAGGTCAACGTTCTTGGTATATAATAAAAGGTCTTTTTACAAGGATTTAATATGTGGAGTATGAAAGCCATTGGATTTACCCTTCAAAAGTCATGATCAAGGTTAAAGTTTTTTAATACGCAAGAAAGTTAAGGATTTTCTATGAAAATATAGGCTTTTCTATGCAAATGAGCTAATAAAAATGCATGAATTGTGTATTTTATGTACACTGAATGTTCAAATTGTTTTTCTTACACATACTTACTTCTGATGGTATATTATTGGAAATGCACATTATGACGTCATGTTATGACGTCATAGTTCTTTCCCATTGAAGGTAATAAAACACATCAACAAAACAACGTCGGCGCAAGGGCATATCCTATTAATTTAAGATAAATAATGCTAGGGAGAATATTCTTAAAAGTAATAAAATTGCTGCACAAATCAAATGCTTTTCTTCAAACGATAAAAATTTTGATAAACTTACACTGGACTGTGCATTTTTACCCTGTTTCCATTTAGTACTATACGAATAGTAATTGCAGTGTCGACATTTGTGCAGCAATATCTTAAACACTTGGAATATTGTGCTTCTCTTTATACCTTGTTTCTGTAAAAAAAGTGATGTATGCCCTTGCGCCGAAGCGATTTTGTTGATGTTTCTCATAAACTTGTGCAGTAAAGGTCGATGACGTCATAATTTATACTGGCTTTCGCATATCATGGGGACCAAAATTGTATAAGAAAACAACTCTTAGCATTTTCTTTGAGGTATGTTTTGCAATTACGGGTTCTAACTAGATATTTGGCATAGAAACCTCCATACGTACCCTTAACTCGCTTGCGTAAATAAAGAAATCTCCTAAATCAAGGTAAAAAGGTCAAAGTTTATGGTATCCAATGAAAGGACTTGCCACAAAAAATATGTATGTGACGAAAGTCATTGTATCTATCTTTTAATAGTCATGGCCAAATTGGATTTTATTGAATAAAAGTGGGTCAAACTCCAAAGTCAAGGTCAAAAGGTCAAATTTGGTGGTACTCAAAGGAAGGCCTTGTCACATATAAAATTACATAGGAGTCATAACTCCACTTATTCAAAAGTTATGGGCAAGGTTTAAGTGACGGACGGACAGCTAGGCAGACTGACAGACAGACGAATGAGATTTGATATTCCCTCCCTTTTGCAAAAGCGGGGGGGGGGCAATAAAAACAATTAATGAATCTGAATTTCTTGATTTATTTGAAGCATCCCCTTATAAAGAAATACTGGAAAAGAAAAGATGAAATTCGGAGGAGAACTTTCTGACAAGTTGTTAATTTATGTTTGATCAAATTATATGTACTTATCCCCGAAGATCGGGCGGGATATAGAGAGTTCAAATTTTACACCGAAATAGGCAGAAAATTTTCTTTAAATTGTGTTAAAGAAGAACCAGCTTATGATTAGACGTATTACACAAGCATCATCAACTTTTATTCAAGCTAGAAGAAAAGGGGTGTCCTTGGGTACACTGCTGTCCTTGAGAAAGAGGAGAGAAATACATCAGTTTACAATTGGATAATAGCCAAGTGGCGCATATGGTTAGATTGTCAGCTCTTGGGTCGCGAAGTAAAGAGTTTTTCTTTACATCTCAGTAATCATGATTATAGGTGCCGAGTAAGGATCAAAATTTGCAGCCCTCCATCGGCAATTTGAGGCGTCTCTGCATGAGTGAAAAATTCTCAATTTTTCATTCTTATTCTCTCTCTCTCTCTCTCTCTCTCTCTCTCTCTCTCTCTCTCTCTCTCTCTCTCTCTCTCTCTCTCTCTATATATATATATATATATATATATATAGAAAATAAGAATCTGAAAAATAATATCCTAAGGAAGTTCAAAGGAAGACTACAGTTTGTCATTGTCATTCGTGGGCATCTTAACATAGTGCACACTCATATTAATATTTTTTGTTTAAATCATACAATCGGGTTATATTGAGACAAGAAAAAGGATGAGCGTGTGATATACTAGAACATGTATTACTAGATTACTAGTAAATTTACATCTTCATACAATGTTCAGTGGTTCAATGCTATTTTTATGCGCCCGGATCGATAGATATTGTTTTTGTCCTGTCTGTCTGTTTGTTTGTTTGGTTGGTTTTTGTTTTGTTTGTTTGTTTGTCTCGAACTTTAACCTTCACCATAACTTTTGAACCATGAAAGATAGAGACTTCATATTTGGTATACATACTCTACTAATCAAGCTCTTGCAAATAACATCAAGGTAAATTATCTTTTGACTTTGACTGTGACCTATATGCTAAAAATAGCATTTTGACCCCTCACTATAACTATTGAACCATGAGAGATTGAGATTTCATTTTTGGTACACATACTCTACTAATCAACCTTTTTCAAATGACACTAAGGTCAATGACCTTGTGACCCTGACTGTGACCTTAATGCTAAAAATAGCTTTTCCAAAATTTGTTGCCACCGGAAGCAATAGTGATTCACAAACACATCTTGTTTTTTCTAACAATTAACGTTTATGAAGAAATCCTTTTTAAAGGTATTTTTCTTAGGTATGATTCATTGTTAATTTTTCCAGTTGATCTTTTCTGTCTTCGGACAGATACTTTTTGTTGACAAGCATTTATAAACTGATAAATCATTGTTTTTTAGATATAATAATTCTCTATTTATAATGAAATGAATTCCTCTGATGTTGTGTATTAAATTTGCATTTTTTAAACAATTTCATATTTTCTAGACCAAACATGTTATCGAAGTATTGACTCAGACCAAAAAGCCACAAAAATTATCCCTCCTCCTTTCAGCATTGAAGTCAAGACCTTCGATGGAAATGGATCTCTTGGTAATTATTTCCGATACAAATGCTTTTCTTAATTATATACATGAACCAGTTTTCGAGCAGTGGGTAAATAAAATGTTTAGTTAACATTTTTGTTACAATTGCCTTTCGTTGATCTCTTATATCTTCTATTGGAATAACGGCTGCATTTCCATTAGATCTTCTCAACAGCTACATGAACTGGTTGATTACTTTGGCAAAGAAAAGGACAGAGAAAATATGAATATTATAATATAAAAAATCATAATCAGATAAATGAAATAGTTTATGCTTTTTAAAGCAATATTTTCTTTGAATGGCCTTTCACATTAATATCAATGAGACCTTCATGTAAAATTGAGAAGTGAATGCGATCACGGAATTTAACTCGGAATTCTTGAAGGCAATGGTAAGTTATGATGCGGTTTTAAAGTAGTGATTTCATGTTTTCTCGATTTATTAATTTTTAAGTGGTAAAATACAAGTGAATGCGTGTCGTGCGAATAACGGTACCTTCGTATTCTTTAGATATTTTTTTTTATTTTATCCCGAATCACGTAGTAACGGGTATGTTAACATTTAAATCAAGTCAGAGTTCCCAGCAATTTCTCAAGTTACAAGCTGACGCGAAATTATAACATGATCTATGGTAAATATTATGAAGTATAGCTAAAAATGATGAAGAACTACGCAGAACCCAGAATTCACATCGTTTAAGAAAATGCTCATACGTAGAAAATTCTCTTGCGTATCAAATCCATTGAGATATATAAACTGAGTAAGCAGGTGATGAAGGTATATTGCTGCATAAGTAAGGTAAGTTGATGATAGAAAAGTTAAAATTATCACATTTATCATAGAGCTTGGTTGGATTACCATCCACGTATTTTGCATGTCCAAATTGGAAAACATGTGTAACGGTTTCTACGTTATGACAAAATATTACACAACTTATGTTTTAGATTACTGAGTGGATATTTCACGAAGTATTTGTTCGAGTACTACACTTAAATGTGATGAGAAATAATGAATCTCAGGATCCATGAATTTCATGAAGTTTTTGATATCCCTCAGTAAGAAATCAAATGTTTAGATCCTTTGTTGTCATAGTCTTCATCTCGTCCTACTTTTTTGAGGTAAGTTTTCTTTTCTTTGATTTGTATTTATGAATGTAAAGGAAAGAATGCATACAGTACCCGCATCGTTATTCTTTACAAATCTATCGTATCCTATCGTTCGTGTATCCTATCGTATCGTGCGTGTATCCTATCGTATCGTGTTTTCCGTTTATCGTGTTTTGCGTTTTCTATCGTGTTTTCCGTTTATCGTGTGTTCAGTTTATCTTGTAGATCGTTTATCAGGTTCTATCGTGTATCGTGTTTTGTGTTTATCCTGTATATTCGGAAACCCTTGCTTTTTATCTTTACAACAGGAAGAAACTACCGAGGTATTCCGAGTTTCTTTTTCGTTTTGTTAACTCAAATAAGATTATTTTAACCATGAAAAAGAAAAGAAAGTTTTATCCCTTAGTTTTTCATCATTAAAAGAAATATTAAAGCGTGGAAGGAAAAGAATACATATATAAATAATATAATTAATAAATTAAACAATTAATAATTCATTGAATTAAGAAAATAATCATATCATAGTCAAGCAGAGAATAAAAATTAATTTTTGAAAATGAAATTATCGATTCCCTGGTTGTTGTTTTTTTTTTTTAATTCATCGAATTATATGATTTTTTTTCGTCAAAATTAAATATTAATCAAATTTTCTTTAAATAGTCATAGTCACTAGAGGATGATTTTCGGTAAGTCACGGAGTATACGCAACACCCCTTTCCCCGAAAAAATTATAATAATAATTAGCAGAGAATTTATTTTTTAAATGCAATATTCATTTTGTCCCGATCAATCGTCTGGTACTACTAGTAATGTGTTTTCGTCTCTTATCTGCATGTATGCACAATTATTTAAAATCTTGATTTTCAACATCCCGATCTGCGAATATGCCGTATATGAGATTACCGGGTAAGTCTAAAATAATTTTCAGGGTTTAATAATTCATTTGCATAAAAAAAGTACACACAAAGTTTAATAGCAATGATTTATAATTATTTAGTCGGAAAAATCGCATTTCATCCTTTTAATATTTGTTTATAGATTTTTGTGTTTTGTATTGTAAAGAAAAAAAGAGTATTTTATTATTCAATGTTCGTTAATTAATACGAGGTTTTAAGTATCTGATATGTAAATGTTTACATGAACATACATGTAAGTGAGAGCTTAGCGTAAACGTACATGCACATGTGCAGTTGTAGCAGATTCATATTCTGTTGACAAAGTTTACATGTATTAATGCAAAGCGCCATTATATGTTAACAATTATTTAGATTTCTACTCAGGAAATTAATTTTCTTGAACTATATAGTTCTTTAAAGCCGATATCTTTGGACCTTTCTTTCGGCCGGTCTTCTACATCTATTTTTTCCCTAAAATTTTAATATTTAATTGCGACTTTTGGATACACCGCAGATTGTAAGCTTTAGACATTAAATACAAATAACTAATTTATTGCGTAAATTTCTTCCTTGAAATAATTTAGTACTTGTAGATAAATTTATTAGGTACAAATGTATATTTTTTCATAAACAATAAATCTATTCATAGAGTTTCATAAATTTATAATAGTACCCATGAGAAACGGCACATAATTATGTAAGGGATTTTTGTGCAACAATTACATGTATGTTAAAATATCCATAATTAAAGGAGTCATAGTTCAACCTTAAAGTGAGAATTTCAACATTTACAAAAATATTCGTAAATCCACACCCTTGAGTAGAAATTTAAAAAAAATTACAGTTTCCATTTCATAATAATCCATTTAATCATTGTCAAAAATATATACACATATACAACTTTTGTAAAATTACCAGTGATATCAATTTTTTTTATTATAATAATTAAATGTACTTTATAATTTAGAAAGAAGCTTTGCAAGTATTTAAATTAAAATATTGCAGTAACTAAACAAAATAATCATTTCGTCTTGTCAGAAATCGTTCCGCATTTTGAAACAATCCTATCAGGTTTTGCGTTTATCCTATCGTGAAGATTGTTTATCAGGTCAATCGTGTTTTGCGTTTATCGTGTTTTGCGTGTATCGTGTTTTGCGTTTATCGTGGTTTGCGTTTATCCTATCGTGCATGTATCCTGTCCTATCGTGCGTGTATACTATCGTATCGTGCGTGTATCCTATCGTATCGTGTATCCTGTAAAGAATAACGATGCGGGTACTGTACAAAATAATAATTAATTTCATATATGCACTTCTTTCAGGAAATTGAAGCAAGACGCAAATCTACCGATTTGTCCTTCAAAAATTGGTTTTTCGTTTTTAAGCAAGATGTCCTTACTTAAGAAGATATATATTACAATTTAAGCGCGATTTCTTTTTAGTGAGTTTCAATTAAGTGATCTCAACACCTTTGCTAATAATACCAAAATTAAATCCTCGCTACAAATTCTGTTAATATCAATGTTTTAATGTCTTTATTTGATTCGTTTTGATGGCTTATACAATAAATGCAAAAAGAAAATCCATCCATATTAATTTTTGTGACATATCATACACAGGGTCTATTGGTTGCCAATTTAAGTTTACAAGAAACAGTAAAAGAAGTACATTCCTGTCCTAAAACGAAAAAGGAGTGGCTGAAAGCATCTATCGAGAAAAATTGTTCTGCCTTACATAGTTCACAAGATGTGAAATATGAATATCTCTGCGTTATAAACGAATGGGGTAATAGTACGATTGAAGTTTGCACAGTCAACAGAAATATATTATGTAAGTATAAAATAATATGTCATTTTCGAATGTATTCTTTTACATGTATTTCATTTGATTTCTTTAGTTATATTTTGTATTTTTCTTTTAGTCGGGAAATGTGCGGAGTATAACTATGGGGCAAAGCGTATTCAAAGCAGTAACATGAAGCTGTGTTCAAACTTTGGTCCTCCTTGTCCCGTTGTATATAACTCGTCAGATTCATACATGTGTATGTAGTACGTATTAAGCGGCATTTGCTTGACATTCATACGCTTTGCCTTGCTCCGCAAACTTTGGATAGGGCAAAATTGTTTGATATTCTAGAATCACTGTATAATTAAAGTAAAAATTGTAAATTTTACTATAGTAGTTTTAGAATGTCCACCAAAACCTGAATATTTATGTTTTTTTTGTTCATAGATCAAGGATGTTATGATTTTTTAAAGTCCAAAGATAAACAAAGCACATCAAATCTTAATTCAAACTTTTCCAATTCTGAAATATCAGAGGAGGATTTTGAAATAATGATTATTGTCTTGTAAGTATTATTTTAAGCTTAACCTTGTACTCAATAAATGAATTTGTTCATTATGTTAGATTTTGTTAAAAACTAACGTTGCTTAAAGTTTTTTTTCTGCTTTTTTGTTACCCCAAATGCAAGTCTTAAGTTTGGGAGTTTGAAGGAAGAGTTATCTTTGTTTATAAATGTAAACTTATTAACTCTTCACAGATGTTAAAAGTGCCGTTTATTTACAGCTAACCATGATTATTTGGTCGACCACATCTCCATCCCCCACCCCCAAAAACTTCTTATGAATGAAAAGTGAAATTTTAAAAATAATACTGGGTTTTGTAAATGTTATGTAAATCATCTTTGGCCAGTTCCTCATTAAAGCAAATCACATTGCAAAATGTAATAGCAAGATTTCCAGTCACACAATTTGCTATTTTTAGAAGTTAATGATTAAAAACACAATTTAAAAAATGTATAATGCTTAGAATGATTTTTTTCCGTCCAATTCAATCTTTTGATAACAAATTAAAATTTAAAAAATAAATCTACAATTCTACTAAATAATTTCAGAATTTCTGCAGTCATCACACTAAGTGTTTTTGTATCGATCATAATATGGAAGCGTTACAGTAAATGGAAAAATCATAATACAGGTAAGAAACTAATTAATTTTTCTGTATTTTTGTAAAAATATAGTCTACGACCAATTATCATTACTTTACTTTTTTCGATACTGTTTAATGTTCATTAAATCATATGATTGTATGTCATTATAGGTTTCATTTAAAGGTATGTCACTTAAGGGCTTCTAAATTAATACCTGACTCGACACTCAGGGCCATTGAGCTGTGAGGGATCTTTATCATGTCAAGGCCTTTTGTGAAACGGGGTCTCGGTCCATTAGGTCTCTTTCAATTTTCACTTCACATTTCTGAGCGTCGACGGTGGAACAATCGCCTACTTTTGATTTTATATATATGCAAAGTATTTTAAAAGTGAATATATAACGAACAGTGATCTATCTAAAAAAAATATTTATAAAGAAATACAAATTTGTGATGTCATAAGAAAGGAAAATCAGGAATTTTGAGATGTGTCGCCATATCCCTACAAGAGGTGAACATTCCCAGTTGAATAACCAATATTTAAGTAAAGAATAGTACCTATATTCTCTATATTGAAATGGGAAAAAAACAGTTAACACAAATGTTATTAGTATTTCCGAAAAGTAATGAAGGTCATTTAATTTTAAGTATTATACAAAAAAAAAAAAAAAAACATCTGTACCCAAATGTTTCTGATATTCTGCTCTTCCCATGAACTCTTGGCATAGGGTGTTGTCTAAAGAACATATTGTTTTTGTCAGGTGCTTTTGCATCTTTCCAGGTATGCACTATTTTGTCATCGATAGAAATATTTTAGTGTATCTAGCTTAGATAATTACATTTTTAAAGAATGATTAACAAGACAGTTTTTTGAGTTATCATGGTAATGTTTAGTTGTTATTTAAAGTGCAAGACTACACCTTCTTAAAGATCTTTTCTTAATCAAATATACTGCACATTGCTTAAGATATTGGATGACACTATTCCAATAAGAGAATGCTACGGATCGTTGTTAACTTGCGTTTTTCATTCCCAGCGAAATATATCTCTAACGCAGATATCGTCATTTACAAAAAAGTACTGCTTATTGGTCGAAGTATGTCGATCGACTCCATTCACGACCTGAGAAAAACGAACTTTTTAAAGCACAATATTTACATTTCCAATGTCTTTGTCCAAGACAAATTACAAATTGTAAATGTACTTTTATTCCCCATGAATGCATTGGCGCGGTCGACCCCCCCCCCCAAAAAAAAAACACATGCAGGGTGGGACAAACAGCTAGACAGAAGCAGGGATTTTAGCACCTGGATTGGAGGAATCAAATCATGTTAATATAAGGAATAACTGTCAGATTTTTCAATTTCATGACAATGATCAATTGGCCTGCGTGATAATTTTATGCAAAAACGCCATCGGCGTTTACGCAAATTATCACGCGAGCCAATCGATTGATCACATTATGAAATCAAAAATAAGTCAATCATTCCTTAATTATGCCAAGGATTAATGAGGAGAGAAGCGTATCAGAAACCCCTAGCTAGCAAAGATGATAACAAGATTATTTTCTGAATTTTCAATAGCTGAAAGTACATGACTGTACGTCACATGATAATCCTCCATTTTGTTATGACGTGAAAGCGCCTCAAAGGAATTTAATATCGCACGACACGTATAGTTCGGTTGCACCAAATTTACGTATTAGGTGACGTCATGATATCACAAGCATGTTTAACCCATGGTTACGTAATGAAAGCCAATTCAGTTCAATTAGGACTGTGTGAGATCATCCTATTCTGAGTGATTATATAATATACTATAATGGATTTCAGATAACGGTCGAATGACTCATTGCAAGTGATACATGTAATAACCGAGGGCACGGAAAGTGGAAGCGACACTATGAATCGCTGTGTCTGAGGTCAATAACTTGCCTTGAGTCTTTTATAACCACATATATAAACCTACATTGAAGTTCATGATCGTATACAATTGACCGACAAAGAGTTGTATGAATTCGTTTCGGATTTATGCATGTACACTGATTAAGTGTTACTTATCATAATGTCGCAACTTCCAAATAACATGGTGTCACAGATAAAAAGGCATAGTAATACGATAATTATTTCAAGATTTGTTTTTATTACAATCACGATGCGGGTGAAGTATTTATATACATGTAGTTAAAACATTAAAATTTGTATTTTCGTAACATAAAGAACAATTATTAGCAGTGTTAATGACTTTTTCGCCAAGAATAAAATATTGCCATCTACTTTACTTTAACTTTAAACATATTTTATTAAATAATTCAATAAGGATATGGCAACAGGCAAGGCCTATGTACACCCTCTCCTTGTATAAAAGGTCAAGATACAATAGTAAGTAATAATACATGAACATGATAATCAATAAGATTGTAATGAAAAATTAAGATTCACAATCAAGTATTATTTATCAATATTATATTTCAAAAAAGATGACAACCCCCTAACTGTACACATATTAGTTACATACTGTTGTTTACATTTTACTTAACAGTACGTAAATAATATTGCCCTCTGTGCCACATCGAGTGGTATAATATAATCAACGTTTCTCTCAATGCAGTCGATAATTTCATATTAATAAATATTTGACTGAGTAACCTTTAATAATAGGCACAATTGATATATCCATGAAAAATTTGTATTTTCTTCTCAACAGACAACACATCTGCTACGACGGAGGAGGAGAGCAGACAGAGTTTTGTATCCAAGAGCTCAGGAAACGACGACATCTCGAATGGAAAAACTACTAATTGTTTACACTTTTTGTGAGGAAAATAAACAAAAAATGGTGGGTTTTCCCCCCAAAAAAGGATTCTAGGAAATGACACAAATATTTTTTCCTGGTTGAAAAAAAATAATGCATAAATGCATTAAATGTATAAGACCTTTACAAAGATACACAGCGGGTTCCAGTAAATGTTCAGCCAAGTCTCTTTCTTTACTCCTCATAAAGATATTTACTTTTGACAATTTGAAATCACAATACCTTACCAAAATCAACAGCTTAAGAACTTTCCAGTTATCAACTTTATACAAAACCATTCCCTGCAAATGTTTACTTTTAAACTACGGAGTTTTAATTTCTCAGTTGGTTCGATGTGCAAGAGCATGCTTCATATATGTACAATTTGTAAAGCGAGGTAGATTATAGACAAACGGGTTGAAGAAACGAGGATATTAGTTGTCTCGCTTAAAGTCATCATTTCGCTAGTTCTAAGGCCGATACAATGACCTTGTCAGCAAACGCAATCTATCATTGAGTCAAATGGTGTCCGATTTTTTCATAAGAATTGTTGGCACATTATTTACACACTGAATTGACGATGGATTTTCCATTATTTCACGATTGTTGTAGGGGGGAGGCAGATCTGGAAGGGTTTAAGGGGAATGGGACGAAACACGGGTCATAGGAAGCGATGGTATATATAATGATATTAGAAAAGCTATAAAGTTTCTCTATATTTCGAAGGGAAATAAAATTAATCGTCTCAAACAAAATATAAATTTATGATCTTATCCTTAGAATGTAGACCTAAAACTCAAAAGAGGTCTTGTTTAAAAGAATAAAAATGACATTGAAAAAGCTCAAATGCTTTGTATTTGAAGTGAAACTGACGCGTCTTTCTGATTTGATATATGAGATAAGGAACATTATTTAAGCTTAGAAATCAATTAAACAATACAAAATTTGGAGCAGAGCAAACACGGACCTCTTTAACATCGGAATTGGGTTCAGGTACGTACCATGATGGAATAAGCAATCTCTGCTAAAACCGCCGTATGCTCATTTTAATGATCAGGAAATAACTGAAAAATTCGTCGATAATCAAGTGTATGAATAATGGTCTTAGAATTAGTATTTAAAAAAGCAAGTCAACATTTGACGTAATGATAGAGTCGTGTGCAGACACGGTCATTGTGTCGACCATAGAACTTACGAAATGTTAATTGTAAGCTAGATTGTTTTAATTCTTTGTTTCATCAATTTGTTTGTCAATATCCTACTTCCTTTTAAGGAAGTGAACGTAGAAATAGAGCAACAAGGATGTTTCACATAATCAGAAACAAAAGTTAAATGAGTTTAAGGCAGCCAACCTATAGACTACATTTTAAGTTCTAATATACATATATGTGAAATTTGTACTAGAGTAGGAAGTATATCAGCAAATAGATAACTTATTCCATTAATTACAAGTAATTTTTTTTGTTACATAACAATACCTATGTTCTATTATATATATATCCCTGTTATTCATTACTTAATTTGTAAATCTAAGTGTGTACCAGACACCAGGGGATATCAAAATTGAATTAGAATCATTATACGTCAAAAACATTTCTGATTCGAATTATCTAAGTGTTTGTGTGTGTTTTTATTTATATTCAAATCCCCATGAACAAAGAGTTTTTACTCAAACCACGAAATTTTGAACCCACGAAAATATGTGATTTTACAGTACATGTACAATAAAAGTGTTAGTAATAAAATGCGTTAATTTGTTTCTTCCTTTACTATTTTCCTATATTACCTTGATCATTTTGTAAAAATTATTTAAATAAGATATATATATATATATATATATATATATATATATATATATATATATATATATATATATATATTTGTGCCATGCGGATTGTGGGTTATTTTGCGTTTTTTTCACCCACGTTGTGGGTACCTTGGATGGGTTATGGGTCATTATATATTGACCCACAAAACATGTGCCTAAAATTTTGTTTATGACAATAAAATAGTAACTATATTCATATTTTACAAAAAAAAAAATTTTGACCCATAATTACACAATCGAAAAATGACCCACAATGCAATTTTATATATACGAAATCTTACCGCTGAGTGGATTGGCAGGATTTGCGCGTGACCCACAATATTTTATATACTTTCACATGAGAATTGTAGGGATAAGGGAAAATGGCTAGATTTTATAGCCTAATTGCAGAAAATTATTGTTAAATTTAACTTTTTTTTTACTTACATGTATATATGAGCTTTTGTTTTTAATGTACTACATTGTATAAATCTACACAAAAAAGGCTAATTTATTTTAAACTTTTTATCGTACGATAGTTGTGTTCTTCCTAAAGTTTGTATATCTAAATATAAATTCTTATAAAAATGTGAAAGAAAGCTCCAATTACTAATTTTTTGAAAGAAAAAAACGACTAAAATGTTGCTATAAAGATCGCGCATTAAGAAGTGAATCGCGATGTTCCAATAATTAAAAATATATGTTAGGTTGAAATCTCAGAAACTTTAGCTTTATTCAGAAAAAAAATATCACACATTAAGATTTAAGGGAAGTGTAATCAAATCAACAATTATTGAACATTTTATAGATGGTATAAAAGTAAATACTCAATATCCGACAGTGTTTTATATTATTCAATGTAAGTATTGACCCAGAATAATGTATAGTTGCCTGTATTTGGATCCCGCAATTTCTATATCTTTAGGGAGGTCAACATTACCGCTACATTGCGAAAAATTTCAATTCATTTATGCTACATTTCTTTGAAATTAAATTCCGGGTGATCAATACCGCTATATTTTATCAATAAGACTATTGCCGATTAAAACTCATTACCGATACAGATCGAATCAGTCAGAAATGGAACAGAATTATACTTGGTCGCTTCTGTACATTGATCCCGCAACATTATATATATTTATAATACAAATTTTTTCTGGGGGGGGGGTATACACATTTAATACAGTGTATCATAAGATTTTTCAATCTTATAAAACTGTATTTAGAGCAATGCTCTATTTCCTAATACAAGTCTTAACTTACCTATCACTTTCAACCAATGAAATGTAATGACACTAGGGGTCATCCTATTTTTATCATTACTATAAAAGCACATGGTAAATAATAATGACCGACTTTACAAGTAAAGACATCGAAAAACTCGTGATTTTATGGGAAGAAGAAGAGGACTTGTGGAATATATCAAGCAGTGCTTAGTCCGATGATAGACACTGCTATCAGAGCCTCATTCATTTTTTTTTACAGAAAGAATTATAGCGGGGGAAAACACTTTGGAATACGTAGTTTATTTACAATCTTATAAGATATGTATTAGCATGAGTACAAGAACGTTTTATAATACAAAAGTATTATAATACTTGTATTATACTACAAATCTCATCTTGTATACCGGCCTTAAAAATACATCATTTATGACAGAAAATGTCTCTTACAAAATAAAAGTTGGATTAAGTAATTTATGCTTGCCCTTACGTGTAAAGAGTAAAAACACATTCTGCTGCATCTGAACAAATCTGACCAAATATTTGTTTTATAAGACATAAACACATCGCTTTTGATCATGCACAAATATTAAATTAACCAGTCTTCTTTGTTTATGCTTAGACAGATATACGTTGCTTAAATTTTAGTCAATGGGGCTTGGTTCCAGGTCTCTCCTTTTTTATATTGTTTGATTAAATTTACTAATTATATTGCAAATCTTAAATCACTGAAATCCATAGTTTTTTTTTAAAAATCATATTTCCAGAAAAAATCTTGAATACCAGGGAGTGTCCGTAATACACATAGGCGTTGCAGTGGAGCTAGAGGATTCTTATCCCCCTAAACCCCAGCCCACGTCTGAAAAGATAAACAGAAAAAAGGGATTGAGAATTGTGGCTTACATTATTTGGTTTAACCCCCCCCCCAACCAATTTTAATTTGCTTCCGACGCCAAGATCCTAATGATTTTATTCACTGTATACACTTTCCCTACCGGAGTCGGTCAGATTTAATCTCCGAAATGATTGGATTATTCTCGTCCATTACCTGCCTATTGTCAAAATATAAGCAAAAATATCCTATGTGACGCAGTGGTTAGAACGTCTGCTCTTCAGTAGCGAAGTAAAGGGTTGATGATTATGTCAATATCAGGAAAAATTTAGACTTTCTAGTATATTGACGAAATAAACTGGAATCTATTTCGTCTTTAGAAGGTCTTCAATTTTTTCTTTAGACGCAATAACGGCCCCACAGTTGATTGGTTTTTCTATTTTTATTGTTTATTTGATTTCTTGGGGGGGGGGGGGTGACAGTAAACAAAAAATCCATCTGAGAAACATTTTGACAAGCTAAAAAAATTCTTTCTCAAACCAGAACAACTTATTAGTAGGGGAGGAGCTCCTTTCATTTTATTAAACTTCATAAATATGTTTCATCCTACCAACATTCTAGATTCTGCATGTAACTTTTTAACAGGGGTCTACGTTCTACGGTTGACGTTTTTAACCTTTCTTTTTATAAATAAAAATATACCCTGTACTGTTAACATTATAGTATAGGGGATATTTTAATTTATTTATGTTAAAAACGTCAAGCTCCTGTGATTTACAATACTTTATACTAACAACCCAACAACCAAATGTGTATATAAAGAGAAGTGGTCGAATAAATCCCTATATGACAATCTTATAAAAAGAAATATTAAATTAACCAGATGTTAATTAAAATACTGCATGTAAACGACGTCCCAGAGTGGGAATATCCCCCTCTCTCCTTCTCCAAATCGTCTTAGTATAATATGAAATTAAATGATGCATCGAATGTATAAAAAAAATCTCAGAACCGTAATAAAGAATAGTTAAATTCTTTTAAATCAGCAAGGTCGCTATATTTTATGTATATATATCATTTAGGACCCTTTCTACACCAGTGCAAAATACTTTTAAGATAGGACTTTCCTGTAAATAACACAGTTTAAATCAACCTCGTTTCATAGATATCAGAGATTTTAAAAACAATAACCAATTTATTTCCGACTCGGAATTAAATATCACACACAGTTTAAAGTCAATTTAACCACAGAAACGTCGGTATATTTAGGTTCAAAATCGATGAAAATTTTTCATTTAACATAAATAACACATATCAAGTAAATCTACACCTAATCTACACCGAATTTTCTTTTTTTTTAAGCTCAGATACGCTATGTATGGCTTTATCAAAAGTACATGTAATCATAGCCTATCCTACCTATATTTCGGTGATTGATATCATTTTCCGTTTTTGTAAAGATTTATAATCAAAGATTGTCTCTTAACAATATGATTTTCAAAATACTTAGAGGAAAGGAAGATAATTTTTTAAACAAACAGGGTGCTACGCTTCAAAGGAGGATTTCAACGTGAATACAACATAAGCAATAAAATTAATGCAAGACGCAGATCAGGGAAATGTTGTTTTACAAGCCTATTAAACATACACCTGTCAAAATGATTTTTCTGTCCTAATTTTGAGGGTTTTTTTCTAACTTTTTTCCTTTTACTGGCACCGGGACCCAATCATGAGATTATGATTGTACGTTGTGCTACACATCCAAGGAGTTCATTTTAGCTATCCCTGGATTTAAACAAAGTGGTATACTTAATGACTTCCTGATAGTGAAAGGAAAATAGGTAAATAAACGCCAACCATTCCTCAGGTATACCTATGGACCATGATAATATAGTCTGTCCAACCGTACCAACTTGATTATTACTTTTAGCATTACATATCAAAATCCATTTTACATTACGAGGGTTGTCCCGTAAAATCGTGGACAAAGCGTTTTTCTCGAAAAGTAATGGGCGCACTTAGCTGCAATTTTCAGTAAATGTTTATTCATCATATTTAAGAGCATCATTATGTTTGTGATAATATATAGACAAAAATACAGATTTTATTATTCTTGAATGTGCACAGGGTACGGTCCTACGGCGCACGGTAAAAATAACAAGGTTATATCAGAGTATACACAAGAATTAATTCGTAATAAAAGTTTTCAATACATAAAATTCGGATGAAAAGTTATCCTAATTCGATTCCTTAATCAATTTTGTCGTCTTTATAAAAATTTCAAGGCATTTGGTGGATTTTTGGCAGTTT